AATTTCTATATATTCAAAGAAAAATCTAAGCTAAGAAGTTGATGACCAGCTGTCATTGCCAGCAATGTTTACAGAAGAAAGGATTCTGAAAAGCTGCTATAAGCCCACAGACATCCCAGTTAGCTCCTGTCTTGCTTCTTTCTAGACATTGTGTTTTACTGGAAAAAATGAAGCATTTAATACAGCATTGAGCCTTGCAGTTCCTCTCAGACCAAATATTATTTGGATTGTATGAAAATACAACATAAGCAAGTCCATGTCCTGTTGCTGCCCTTTGCAGGAGAAGGAGTGTCACAGATGAAAGACAGTAGTCAGGTAAAGTAATCGTCATGTAAATAGTAAAAGAGTCAAAGAAGACATTTTAGAAAACTTGAGCTGACAGAATAGTCTAAAGAGTCACATTATGTGATGCATATTCTGCTGCTCAGAGCTGCTGCTGCAGGAGGGCTCTCCCAAACAAGCACTGTTCAAGAAAGAACAGCAGAGTCAAAACCCAGCTCAAGTTTTTATTTATGTCTCATAAAATAAGTCTTTGTTCAACATATTTCATGTGATTTCTGTAAGTAGAATGGCAAACCAACTCACCAACTCGAATCCAAACAAATTTCATTTATTTTATAATGGCAGGCTTTTTTCATCTAATGTTTAAACTAGGTTGGGAAAACTTCACAAGAAAGCTCATGTTTTCAATCCTCTTTATTTTCCACCCTATTTACCTAACAAATTTGTAACTATGACTACGGAAAATGTTTTATCACTGCTTACAAATCAAGTATTTGATCAATACGCACACATCCAATGAGAACAATGTTCTCTAGAATATGATCAATATTCATGTGAAATTGTCAAATCAGAGGTTTTTCAGAAAAGAAAAAGGGTTACATTTTCCATAGGTTACTGTTTACAGTCAGAATAAACCAATTTATGACATTTTGAATTTAATTTATCGTAGTGGTGCAAAATGCTTTTTCACACACTTCCATACACTATGATTCCCTAGAAACCTAACAAAATAATCAAACTTTCCCATTCAGTAGATAGATCTTCCATTAAATTATGATCAGTGGTGGGAAAAACTATTCAGTTACAGACCTGAATTAATTTGCTATGGAAGCCATTAAATACTTTCTATACTTTTGTATTTTTCAATGCAAATCTGTTTAAATACACGCAATAGTGTTTTGGAATTATAAGTGACCAAGACTTACTGTTCTTTAATTATTTTGAATTTTAAAGAAATTACATTAATAATTCACTGATACAGCAAATATTTACACATCTTAAAACTGCAGGATTTTCTTGTTTAAATAAATATTTTAAAATCTGTTTTATAGATACAGAGCTACTTTTATATTGTTTTTAAAGGACAAATTTAGCTAAGGTACTTCATATGCTTTAGAAAAGACTCATTCAATGTGTATGTTTCATTTTTTCAAGTGACTTTGCTTATTCAGAGAATTGAGACACCGATAATTGTGGAATTTACCCAATATATTAAAAATTGACATAAATGAAAATACAAGCAGGTTAAGATGAGGAATGGATATCTGATATGTAACTCGAGGTGCCATCCTCCATCTGGCACTCAGCACTCCAAGTGCCCTTTCTGAGCTGACCCTGCTCCCAGCTGCAGAGCAAAATCTGTAACAGGCTCAGAGTGCTCATGGAACGGGAATTGCCTGACAAAGGCATGACAGTAGTGCTGCTGCACAGATGTAGAGATTAGAAACCTTAAAATACATTTATTTTTCTTGTACTCAAAAGATAAAAATGAGCCACTTGACTTAGAACCCAAACAGATTAATTCCCCCTGCAACCTCATTCCATTCTAAGCACTTCTGAGCTGTCAAACTAATTTTCTTTCTCTTCTCCCATCCCAAATGTCTCACATTCAAATATGATTTTGCTATTATCACTATTTATATTACAGGAGGATTAAAGTCACAGTTCATGACCTTTGAGGCCAGTGTCAGCAAAACACTGACACTGGTTGAAGACCAATGTTAGATTCTGATTTTTGGGACTGAGTCTAATTTTTTGTTTCAGGACTGCTCACTGTCACTTATGAGGACCAGAATTTATTGGAGTTTTTCCGCTCTCTTTGACATAGTACTACTGTATTTATGGTTTTCTTCCGTATATGGTTATTTTCTTTCAGATATAGTTGCACAGTTGCTGATTTTGAGTCAGAAAGGAATTTTTTTGCAAGGCTAGGGGCTGCTGCATGACATTTAATTCCATCCTGATGCAAGGGCCAGGAATTATGGCAGTGTCATTGGTTTGCTTTATCTCTGTGATATAACATCAGCAGGGCAAACTGGTACTTGTACAAAAATGCAGTGGGGTGTGGAGAAGAACAAACACTCCCAAAGGAGCTGGAAAGTGTGAGGGAGCTGTATCTGTCTGAGAATGAACATTAAACCATCACTGCACACCACAATGGAACCACACACATTTAATTTGCCATGACAACCTAAGAAATCTAAACTTTCTGACCCACTGCTGGAGTTAGTGTTGTGGAAAAACCGAGCAAGGTGCAGAAATTAAGCACAAAGGATCATCAATCACTAGCTTAATAGACAGAAAAAAATGTAAGCAAAAAAAAAAAAAAGGATTACACAATTTAAGGGTTTGATAAGTGAGTCAGCAAAATAGTTTAGAAATGCCCTAGGAACAATCAGAATGTTCCATTTCCCGAATAAATGTATTCAAATGTGAGCTGCATTCAAATATATTTCGATTGACTGGAGTTCAAAATGATTTTTACTTGACCTAAATAATAATAAATATTTTTAAGTGAGATATTTAAAGCAATAAAGCAGTAAGGTTTTACAAAAAAACAACACTATATAACAATATTTTGTTAGGTAGAATTTAGTATTTATGGAAATAAACATAAAAAGATTAAAGAGCCCAAAGGAGAAATGTTTATGATATTTATGATTGTGTGCTGAGAGATGCAAAGCAAATATAGGAACGTTTATTTTATTTTTGATGAAGAGTTACAGAGGACATGGACTCACTAAAATAGCCATGCATGACATAACTTTTAATAGGGACTCACAAAAAGCATAAAAAAGGCATTTCTTGCAGGAATCATAATTTAAATTATTCTACTTTTAAATCCTTAGATTTTTCTGGGGAGAGAGGAAATCATTCTTATAAAGCATAGTTCAGAGAGAGAATTGACTCACAAGTGATGCTGCAGAATTATTTAATTGTCTATACCCTGATTTAACTGAATATTCACCAGTACTTGTGTGTCTAAATACAGGCAAGATTAATGTCTCTGATCATTCCTTCAGTTAATTTTCCTTTGTCTTCTAGAAGGAACAGACTCAAGGAAACAGCTTCTCTCCAGCAAACATGAGAACACAGGCAATTCTGGGAAACAAAGCTTTCAGTTGTGTGCAAACAGAAGCTGATTTCAGACCCAGGATTAAAAAAACTAGAATAAATTTCCTTGAAGAAACAGTTACCTACTGCAACAATTTCTAAATCTCATCCTTGTAAAGAGATGGCATTCTTTAATATCATATCTTCATGTGGTTTTAGCAGGACAAGACACCATTGGTGTTTATGTAAGGAGATATTGAATTGCAAGGAAATGAAGTGCATGTAGTTTTGGAGTAGAAACTTACACATTAAAAAAATCAAGAGTAGAAGGCAATTTAGGCCAAAATAGTCTTTACAGTGCAACACAATCATGTGCCCAGTCAGTCCCAGCAAATGTGTTGAACATGCTGACAAGCAAAGCCAGAAATACACAGAAATACAGAAGCTAAATGTTGTTTAACTTGAGATGGAGAACCAAGGGAGCACAACGAGGAGACAAAATTTAGGGATCTTTAGCAAAGATTCCTTACCATGCCCTTTAATATGTGTCAAATAAAAGTGGCATACACTGATTTGTTTCAGGCTATGATTCTAAATACAGAATGTGGAATATTGTGTCTTTGTGGGGAATTTTCATCCTGAATCTTTAGCCCAAGGTCTGTTTCTCAATGACTTATGGCACGGTACCAGTTTCTGAAGAACACAAGTGAAGGTCAGAGGTTTCTGTCAAATCAGTTCCACATCAGACACTGTGATGTCATGTGTCATCAGATTTATATTTGCATTATATAGCTTTAGACAAAAAAAGGCACAATAATGCTGGGAAAAGGTTTCCTCCTACAAGAGGTGGATATTAATTGAATCAAATACAAATTCAGTCAAATCCATGGAATTGAAAATGAATCATCACTTCATGTATTTATTTAGACTTTGTAATGTGCTTTATTTCAAATTAAGATGCTGTGGAATCAAAATGAGCAATTTTCAGTGATTGAAAAATTTCAATTTTCAGCCTCTGAAAGAACAGCAGTAAGAATTATCTGGTGTCTACAGATATGTGTTTCCAGATTGATTAAATCTTGTGTCTAAGGAAATCCCATCTCTAAAAGTCTTCCTGATGCTTTTGGCCTGTATGAAAGTGAATTCTCATCTGCTTTATAAGGAATAAATGTATGGTGTCTCTTTCTTACAATTAAAGCACATGAGAAACTCTTCTACTGACCATCTGTTTTAGCACACCCTTTGGAGACAAATTCTGATTTTGTTTCCAGAGGGTGGAGAACTCAATCAGATTTGGTTGAGATATTGAAAATTAAAGTAAAGTGGGTGTTTATAGGGAAAGTAATACCTATACCTGTGATTGCATAAGATATATTTCCTTAGGAAATTGTGGTAAATAGATAAACACATCCATGTTTCGTCGGGGTCTTACCAGACAGATTATTACACTAGATGGAAGTAGACACTTATCCAGTCCAATCAGTATATATATATATATATATAAATCTATATAAACATGTATAAATATATAAATGTATATAAATATGTATACCCATATAAAGAACATGGAGGGGACATCTACATTGCTATATGAGTTTATGTAGAGCAAGTCACTTGGGAGAGCACTGAAGTCACTTACTTTCCCCTTTTTGCCTGTTTTGCAGAGTATTTGGTGCTGCTATACTGCTGACATCTTCCCTCAACATGCTAATACCATCTGCAGCCAGGGTGCACTATGGATGTGTCATCTTCGTTAGGATCTTGCAGGGCCTTGTGGAGGTATGGAAAATTGCAAAACAGCCAGTGAATGTTTGTTAGCCTTTGAGTAGCAACTGCAGCTTTGGAAGGAAGATAGAAGTGGTTTTAAATTTATTACTGATTTTGAGTGCAAAGGATTTCAATGTATGAATTGTAGCTGTTTGATTTTCCTCAGCTATAAATGTCATGGCAAAATGAGAAGCTAGTGAGATACGCATTTAGCACTGATGTTTCACTAAAGCCCCACACTGCATAAGGCTTGTACTGCTTTAATCTCAACAGTTTCTTGTTGGTCATCATCACAGAATAAATATATAGCAAAAACCTACGGTTATATTTTAAGTCCTGACCATGCCATGCTTTAGTTGGAGATTTACCATCATTTAAAAGAGGAAAAAAAAATAATTGAGCCCTTCCTTTCCCTTCCCTTCCCACTGATGGTTCCAGGCTCCTCAGAGCCACAAAACCTCTGTTGCATGAGCTGCTTTTACTGTACTTTATTGTATTACAAGATTCAAAAAAAGAGTGCAGAATTTCCTGAAATCCGGGTGACTGGTAACCAATTCCTTAAAGTATGTATGCATAAATCTGAATCCATTCCTGGCGGGTGATCTGCCTGCACAGAGCTGTTTCACTGCAAAGATAAGAGGAAGAGAAGCAAGTGGGTAATTAATTGCACAATTAAATAGTTATTGTAGACTCACACATTTTTCCAATACTGTTCAAAGGAATTACGAAAGAAAAACATTCCAAAAAAGACTTTTTCAAGAAGGTTTATGATAAATAATGACAATATTATGATTATATCTTTATATATTTTTTTAAATTGAAAAAATACTGAAATGAGCAGGCAACTGGTTACGAGATCCTCTTTTAAAAGAAAAGAAGTGATTTTACAATTTTCTGCATATTGAGGCTCATCCTCTCAATATTTTTGAAGCCCTCAGTAATTGCAAAAAGTTACTAATTTTTCTAATTTTTGCAGAGGAAAAAATATCAGATTAGGAGAAAAGTGAATCTATATAACCTATATAAAATATATATATGATGTATATGCATATACCATAATTCTTAATCACAAATTTGTGTACATTTGTACATCTTAATCAGGAATTACTGTACATTTCATGTAACATCTTTTAAAATTTCAATACTGCAGGTTTAATTTTTTTATTGCTAAGTTAAAAGCTGGTTTTGAAGAGAGACCTGAAAGGTAGCTGATTTAAAACCAAGTCAGATAATATCATTCAAATACTTTATATGCTCAAGTAGGTTCATTAAAGACAGAGTGAAAAACTTCTCTTAAGAGTATATTTCTAAATGGTTATTGATCTTATCTTCTAGTTTTAGAGCAGTGGCACTTTAATCTGTATTTCCTAAATTTTGCTTTAAAAGTTAGGTAAAAAAAAAAATAAGGTTTGGATAAATTGGTCCTGCATTAGAAAGACTAAAGAAGGTCTGTGTTGTCGTCCTTCCTTTGACTCTGGTTCTTGTGCACTAATACTCTTTAATTATTTGGAATTCTTTCCTGGAAGTGGAGGGGAGCAAAAGGAAACATGCTTTATATTTGTTTCATACAGTCTTTTTAATGATTTGAAGTGGTATACAGAGTCCATTTCAACTTGAATAGATATTGACAGTTTTCTGTGGCTGTGCTCAGCTATAAAGGTGCAAAGCATTCTCAAGTTGTTGTTAGCAGCAATTAAAAATAAAATCTCATGCAAAGACAATGAAGTGAGTGGCTGACCAGCTTTATTCCTCGTTCCCCAGGGGGTCACCTACCCTGCCTGCCACGGGATTTGGAGCAAGTGGGCCCCCCCATTGGAAAGAAGTAGGTTAGCAACCACTTCCTTCTGTGGTAAGCAGCTTTGCATTTTTGTCTTCCTTTTATTTGTAATGCATGAGTGCTTTGAAACTGATTTTTTCCTCCCTGTTCATCCCCATGTCTTGTTTTGTAGGTTCCTATGCAGGAGCTGTCATTGCAATGCCTTTAGCTGGGATTCTGGTGCAATATACTGGGTGGTCTTCTGTGTTCTATGTATATGGTATGCATTTCTGCTCCTTTCATTCCAGTTCTCTATGACCTTCCTCTGCCCTTTCTAAAAATGTACAAGCTACTGTTAAGAGGACAAAAAACTCAGAGACGTGGGACTTCTAATCTAAAAATACAGTCTAGAGAAAAGAGCAATGAGAGAACAGAATTTTAAGAGAAGAGTATGTAAGAAAGGAGTATTATAATAAAATAGGAAAAGCTAGCTCACATTGAAACCTTCATTACATTTAGCACAAGCAGTGCAAACATCTGGGCAGATCTATAGAATCTCTGGTCACATTAGCATCTCTCACTCTGATAAAACTGCAAATTCAGAGCACCTGCTCTGAATAAGTTGTCCTGATTTTTAACTGAAGACCTACATAACTTTATTCACACCAGCTGTGTTAGCCTGCACTGACAGAAAAGAGTATCCCAAGGGAATTCATTTTGCATTTATGTGAATTAAGTGGAAGCATTCTAGAAATTTAATAAAGTACTCAGGAGTGCATTGCTGTGTTGAAAAAGTTGTCAAGAGTCTTCTATTCTGCAGGTAAAAAATTTAGTGCAGTAATCAAAGAGCAGCATCTCAAAGCTGAATGAGCCTTCATTTACAGTTGGGTGAAATGAAATGGAAGCTGTTTCGTTCCATTGCATTGTACAAATTGATGTTAAGATCAGTGAATATTCACTTACAGTGAAATAATTTTGTAAACAAAGCAAAGACTATTTCACTGTGCTATAGTTCTGCATGTATTTTGCACAAGTATTATTCACAGGACCAGACTCTCTGTTGGAGAGTTATCTCTACTGAGAGAACTCAGAAATAAACACTGACAACAATTGCCATTTAAATTTGTTGTAGTTCTTCACAGATTTTTCTTCCTTGTTTGCTGCTTTATTGTGCATTTCTTTTAAAAATCTTTCTTTCCATTCCAAAGGGAGCTTTGGTATAGTCTGGTACATGTTTTGGCTTTTGGTTTCATATGAGAGTCCTGCAAAGCATCCTACAATTACAGATGAAGAAAGGAGATACATAGAAGAAAGCATTGGAGAGAGTGCCAACCTCCTAGGTGCAATGGAAGTAAGAATAAATATTACCCACACCCTGCTTTCCAATGAGATAGTGAGAAAAAGAAACATCCCAGCAACCAAATAAATACAACAACAACTTAAAAAAAAAAAAATTAAACACTCTCCCTAAGATCTAAAAGTGTATTTTGAACACTTTGAACAAATGTTCTCCTGGGGGATGGGAAGATCTTAAATCTGCTGGTGGATTTCTGGGTGGATTCTGCTTTTACATTAAGAGAACACAGGTTCCAGTTCTTCTGGCAGATGACTCATGGGATTTATGCCTCTTTGTCTACTTCAAATTATAAAAAAGAGGTACAGCTACATTTGAAACTGCAACTTTATTTAGACTTTTCTTACATCTTGAGCTGAAAAAGTCAGTTTCTTTTCTATATAGTAATTTCTGGAAAGTTTTTCTCTTCCTAAAAGCAAACTGCAGGAAAAGCACTGGTCAGTGTCTCTTGAGGTCCCCAGAACAGCAGAAAATGCCCATCCTTATGATTTTATGTTTTGTCTGCCAGAAGGACTGCAAGTTGCAATAGAGTGTGTTTGAGATCTGTAAGAACAGTTCCATTATTGCAGTCATTTTTCTGCAGACACAGTGCCAAGCCTCTCATAACCTTAGTTCTGTACTGGTTTAGTTCTCTAGAACCACGTATGACCTAAAACCCATGTGTGAACTCTGAATTTTCCAGCCACTTAACACTCCAGTTGTGCTAACTAATAATCTTCTTATTTCTGTGACTGCTGAAAAGCTTTAAAGAAACTATTGCCACGTTTCCTCATTCACTCAGGAAAATAAAAAAATTGTTTAAGCCTCACTTCATCTGCTTAAATTTTTCCATTCTCACTAGACCCTCATTATATTTTCTATGTGGTCAGAACACTGGTTCTTGATTGAACTCAGGAATTAAAATTTTTGACTTAGTAAAAACTTTGCTTAGTATTAAATAAGGAACAGAAAATATTACAGTCATTTTTTGATAGCTGAAATTTTTAGGTGTTACTGAGGGCCTGTCTCAGTTGATGCTCACCAGCATTCAGTAGGGTTCATGGTTTTGAAAATCTGAAGTGAAATGAGTTACTCTGAAGGATGTCCAAACAATTCTAATATGGACTGTATAAGTTCTGTCTATTTTTTATTGTGGCTTTTAAATTAAACATTATTTTTTTCAAAGTGATTATCTTGTATCAATAGTTCAGTTGCTTCTAAAATAACCAAGCAGAAATTCTTCCCATACCATCAAGTTAGATTTTCTGGCTGGCTTCTCATTAATTAAGTCACTTAACCCTTATCTCTCACTTAAGTGTAATTTAATAGATATACAAGGATAGATGTTGCACATACCTACCTATGGGCTGGGTTTTTTTGAAGAAAAGCCAGTATTGAAATAAATAATAGACTGAATTCAGCCTGAATTCCTCCTAAAGATTTTCAGGTACTTATCTGGGTATGGATCCTGTGTTTAGATCAACACAGATGGGTGGAAGCCTGGGCTTGTGGACAGGTGCTGGGACTCAGCAGGGTTGACCATCTGTCTTACTTTTTTCTTTCTGCAATTTATTTTAAAAATACAATAAAACAAACAAAAAATGTATTGACCAAGCAGTTTCAGCTGAGATTTGATAAAAAAAAGAAATGGTTGAATACTGCAATTAATATTTAAATGTTAAAATACCTGTTTGCAGTAAATCTAAAAGAAATAATGTAGTTAGTGTCAAATCTGTTTCCTTACATACAGCAACAATGTCTTTTAAAGACATTATTATTTAAAGTCATCATTATTATTATTATTTTGGTCTTATGTCCATGTACTTATTTCTATGACTGAGATAAAAGCTCTTGTACATGAGTGTTGTGATACAATCAAGTATCACAGAGTTTCTCCATTTGTGCATTTTGTAGTAACATTTCTATGCTGTGCATATATGTGCTTGTTGGACCATAGATAAAAAAAAGGGTAAGGAAAGGGAAGATGGATAGTTGGTAATGATCAACATGGTAACTGGATCCCCTTTCTTTGTTTCAGAAATACAAAACACCATGGAGAAAATTTTTTACATCTATGCCAGTCTATGCAATAATAGTTGCAAACTTCTGTAGAAGCTGGACTTTTTACTTGCTGCTAATTAGTCAGCCTGCTTACTTTGAGGAAGTGTTTGGATTTGAAATAAGCAAGGTATGTAAAAAGAATGTGAAGCTTTCATCTTAACTATGTAAATATCAGAGCTATATTTGCAGTATTTATTAAGAATAGGAAAGAAAAGTGTTACACATCTTTATCATGGATTTGTGTCTTAAATCTTAACTCATCCCAGTTCCCGTTTCCTTGACCAGAATAAGTGAAGTGACAACTATGACAGGATGGGACAAGGAAAGGTGGAGGCAGGGTGAGATTTAGTGATGATGGTTTACTTGGGGATGCATTGCAAGTTAAGTGCTCAAAACCAGATCATGCTTGGTGTTAGAAAGGTGTCAGCAGACCCATTACACCCTGTCCCTGATGCCCCAGGGGTTGCAGAATCCCACCAAAGCTTATAGAAAACATTGACAAATGGATTTTTCCAGGTGCCTTTTGAAAAGCAGGGCCATCCTGTTCTAGGCAGGACAGTGTAATTTGTCACCTTTCTATATGCACCTTTAATGTGGTGAGAGCTGCTCCCCCTTTCTCCTTTGGAAAGGAGAAAAGACGGTGGCAAAATGTGAGATTTAGGGGTGATCTGAGGTCCCATGTGATTCACATGAAGTTTGGGTCAGACCTGTAAGGTAAATATGGATACACACATATAATCTATAGGAACAGGCATCACAAAAGTACTACATCTGATTCTGCCATGTAAGCATAGCACTTGGAAGATCACCGGTGGATATTTAGGATTTTATCTTTCACTACACGCAGAGTTTTTCAGACACATCTTTTGCCCATACACATACATACACTTTGCAGCTCAGTCAGAAATCAAAGACAAATGGCCATTGTGCATGTGATGATGATCCACAGGGAATTTGTTTAGGCATGTGAGGTTTACTGCAGAGCTGCACTAAACACCAAAAGAAATGCAGCAATTCAGTTTTACACTTTTGGCCGTGAATTTTCTGAAAATTCTGATGCAAGGACTATAAGTGAGGGGGGAAAAAAGCTTTAGCTTTAGCTTAAATATAAACTGTGAAAAAAGTGTCATGGCATCAGGGGTTTTTAAAAATTCTCACTGTATTTCATAAAATAAAAAAAATTAAATCTTTAGATCATTAGTTTTGTTTATTTTATAACCCAAGACTTTAAGTTTTAACACAGAGTGTGACACTGAAAAGAAATAGCTGCTGAATGCTTCAGAAAATAAAGAATCAAAATTTTCATATGGTTTATACTTCACTAATTCTAATTTTAATTTTAGGTGGGTATTTTATCTGCTGTGCCACATTTAGTGATGACAATTATTGTTCCTATTGGGGGACAAATTGCTGACTTTTTAAGAAGCAGGCAGATTGTTTCAACGACTAATGTGAGAAAGATAATGAACTGTGGAGGTAAGTCTTTCTATTTTATTTAAAAGTTTCTTGAAAGGGTTTGATGTTCACGTTGTGTTCTGTATAGAATAAAGAAACAAATTGCACAGTTGTATGTTCTTAGGAGGCAATACTTTCTGCATTTTTTATGCAATGCAGATGTAGTTATTAAGTAAAAGAAAACACAGGTGCTGTCATTCACCATTTCCATACAGTTAATTTGTATTTGGAAACCATTTAGACTATTAAAGAAATAGATGAGGTTTTGGAGGGGAATTTGCTTAGTCTTAGCTACTTACTCAGTCCTAGCTCCTCATCTAAACACCCTCTGCACTAAGAGAGCCCAGGCAACTCCCTGGGATTACATCCTCGACTTCTGAGGGGTTAAAGCCACATTAGCTGTGGTAAGGGATGGAAAATTCACAAGCAGGTTACCCATGAGAGTTGACTGGAATGACCTAACCACATCACAAATATCTATTTTCATCTTACAAATGACAGAAAGTGGCAATAAATTAGCATATAAAGAGTAAAATAAGTATTATTTGAGAAAGGAAGAACCGTTGTGTTTTAGAGATGAAAGAAATACCTGATTGTATCCCACTCTGAGGTAATGTTTTATTTGTGTTCCTATGAAATATCGTGGCATCCTAAGGCCTGCAGTATTTGAGAGGGAATTTAATTTGATGCCTGGTTTTATTTATTATTTTACCAGGTTTTGGTATGGAAGCAACTCTTCTTCTGGTGGTGGGATATTCACACAGCAAAGGAGTGGCTATTTCATTCTTAGTGCTTGCTGTAGGCTTTAGTGGATTTGCCATATCTGGTAAGATTATATTACTATTAACACTAAACTATACATCTGTCTTTGCTTTTATTCATGCATAGTCTTTAAAAAGCCCACTCACTTTGGAATTCCCAAAGGACATTATTTATGATCATAATAAAGGAATGTACAATGTATGATGCACAGTCTATAGTTTGGTATTACAGCTTTTGTATTAGACGATTTCTGTTCAAATAATTGAATCTTTTCCATGTTCATTGCAGCAAATTAGGCTCTCTTCTCATTAAGATGCTAATGTACACTGCAGATTTTTCTTGAACTCAAACACAGAAGACAAATGGATTGGTATTACATCATAATACCTAAATTTACACATCTTGGTTTAAATATAAGTATTTTATTTTTTGTCACAGTGTGCTGGTTATTGCTTTGTTAATATTCTATTATTTTATTAATTTGGCGCCTGTTAGTATTATATTATTTTGGGGCCTAATTACTAGAATTTCTTTTCTGAATTAAAAATTTCAGCTATTCCCCTTTCCTGCTGATTCATCAGCCCTTTGCCTTTGCCTTTCCCTGCTCCAAACACAAGTCACCTGTCCTCCCCTTGTTTTCCAACTGTGATTTTAGTATCCTCTCCCATGCTGGTTCCTTATGTCTCACACAGGCTCTCTTTCCTTTTGTGCCAAACATCTAAAATCTCCTCTAATCAAATCTGTCCTTAATTTCATACATTCTGCAAGGTATCATTCTTGTTTTGTACAATTTGGGAAGTGAATTGCACTTTACCCAAGCTGACCATATCATACTGCCTGCCCTTTCCATTATACTATCTCTATCCCGAGGTTTGGTTTCTGTTTTCACTTATTTAAGTACTTATTTTGGGAACAGTTCTTTCTGTCTCTTTAGATTATTTAAATAGTTACTGCAGACATTTTCAACAGAATTGTGCTGCTGAAAATGCAAGAGAACAAGTAAATATCTTTCAAAATTAATTAGTAATTCAGTTATAGATATTGTTTTTTTCCTCTAATTTAACACTGAAGAATAGAAAAGAACTCCCTTCTGCTGGTCTATGTGACATGAAGCAAAATGTGGGCAATAGGAAAAGAACATGTTAGATACTGGAAGGAGAAAAGACATGTTATTTACAGCATGAAATGGTCATGGAAGGGACTATGAAATACAAATTATTTCCCTGCCTAAATGTCTTCTGGGTTCTCTACTCCACACAGACACTGCTGGGAGGTTTTGGGGTTTTCTGAAACTGCACTTTTGGGAGAAAATTAACCTGGTATCCCTTAAAAATATTTTCTTAAAAGGAAATGAAAACCCAGAGTATCTCTAGGAATATTTAAGCATTCTAAGTCTTTTAGGGATAAAGAAATGCAACTAATGCAGCCCAAATATGTTATGGTAAAAATGTCATGTCCCTTTTCTCAGCTGAAGTACTGCTCTGCTCTTGGTGTGAAAGCTCACTGACCTTTCTATTGCAGGATTCAATGTCAACCATTTAGACATTGCCCCAAGGTATGCTAGCATTTTAATGGGGATTTCTAATGGAGTCGGGACCTTGTCTGGAATGGTTTGCCCTATAATTGTTGGAGCAATGACAAAGAACAAGGTAAATGGAAACACAATTTTCAAATCTTCCGGTTTGATACGACTGGTTTCAAGAAAAATTCCTTTCTATAAAACAGCTTGCCAGAACATCCATACTGGAGTCTGGGACTTGCATCCAGGGATGCAAGTTTGAGGCACCCTTCCCTATATGCCCATTAGGATGATGCTTTTGTGGGATGATAAATTTTTCAAAGAACAATGGCTATAAATATTTCTGAAATGGACACTTGAATGTTTTAGCTGTGCTGTCACAACCTCAAACCTTAATTTAAATCTTGCAGCTCAGAAGAACTAGGTAAATCTCTGTGCTACTCTGATTTGGCAAATTTCCTCTTTACAGACACGTGAAGAATGGCAGTATGTCTTCCTCATTGCTGCTTTAGTCCATTATGGAGGTGTGATCTTCTATGGCATATTTGCTTCAGGAGAGAAACAGCCCTGGGCAGACCCTGAGCAGACAAGTGAAGAGAAATGTGGCTTTATTCATGAAGATGAACTTGCTGAGGAGACAGGGGACATTACTCAGAATTATGTAAATTATGGTACCACCAAGTCTTACGGTGCTACAACCCAGGTCAATGGTGGCTGGCCTAATGGCTGGGAGAAAAAAGAGGAATTTGTACAAGAGGAAGTACAAGACTCATACAACTACAAGGAAAGAGATTATTCATAACAAACTTAAATATTTGGTATATTTTGTAGTGTTTGTGATTAAATTCATTGTGATTGTTTGCACACAGAAATAAAATGTGGTATAAACATGTAAACACATATCAAACAGGAAGGTCTTACTGTAAAAAAATACATCAAAGTGCAATCTGTATGAGTTGTGATGTTATCACTTTCATTAGGTTATATTTGTTCTATAAACATTAGAGTTTTAAGGGTTTACTGGTCAAAACTATAGAGGCAAGTAGATACTTTAAAGTATACAAGAGCTAAAACTCATAATTACAGATTAAAGCACAACTAAGCAACCAAGTTGGCACATCTAATGCTCTTTTTAGAAAGCCAAAATTACTTGATCATTAAAAATGCACTTATATATTTGTTACACTGTATTGAGGTTGTGTTGAAGACACACATTTACTCAGTGCAATGTAGGAGTTGTGTATTTAGCCTAGGACAAGGACTTTCTTAGAGAAGAAAGGTTGAGTCCTAGGCGTTTACAAGGATTGATCCAGTTCCCTGAACGGTAATTGCATCAAGCCTAAAGAACAAATAGGGCATATTGTATGTTTATTGTGGTTACATGCTGCAGGCTACTCTGTGATAAATAAAGGAGTTATTTAGGAGTTTTATACTGAATGTTTGGGCACAAATTCTTATTTCTGTCCTTTACAGAATCTCATTAAATTATAGACATTGTCATGTTCTTCCCTGCATTTATCAACCAATATAAAAACAATATAAAATATTGAGTCTGACTTTTCTGGCAGCCTGGCAAATCCCTTTATCAAAAAACAAGCTTTATTATTCTATTCTTTGCAGTATATTATGAATTTGTACCGGTGTCTTTAGAAAGAGAAAAAAATACCCCAATATAACATAGAAAAGAATATAGTCTTTTACAAAATTCCAAAGAGAAGTTTACTATGAGCAAATAGCCCTATGAAAAAAAGATGCATTTGTTTTGCAGGATATTTTGAAACCAATAGAAGAAACAGAGAATAATTTAACCCTTATTCTTCCCTTAATAGCTTTCATATTTTTACACATTGTGCCACAGTTGTATACATAGATATGTTTATTGAAGATACTGTAATTATAGAAAATGTTATTTTAGAAATCCCTGAAATAAAAGATGTATTTGTCTTTCAATCAAACCTAATAATAATGGACACTGAATATGAGTAACATAAAAACTCACAATAAACCAAAGTGGTAAATAACTAGTGTTGGGTTGAAAGAAGCCAACAAGCATCACGCTTGTCTTTTTAGCATAACTCAACAGTGACTGCAACATTAGTGTACCAAGCAATAAGTGCAATGCATTATGAAGTGCATAACCTTCTAGATGATATATTAACTTACATTTAGCTTGTTGTATATACTTGGGGTTGTTGGGATTGAACCAAACTGAACCAACTGAAATTAGCAACACCAGACCACTTCTTAATACTCTAAAATGACAACGATGATCCATTTCTTAATTCAATCAAATTAATATTATTGTATGTAATAATCCATCTGGATTCTTGGTCTGTTCATTGTATTGTGCTAGTGATTGGAAACCCTGCTACCGCAATATACAACTTGAGGATTGTTTTTTCTCCTTTTTTTTAATGCAAATCATACCTTGACCTTAAGAAAAGAAGTATTTTGCTTTGTGCCTCAAAGTGATGTAAAACGTGACCATAGCTTTTGCTGTGTTTAATGAAAAAGATGTGGACTGTGTCACTTTTGTTGCTGCAAAAAAGTGTTAATAAAATGCTCTATTTATCCTTTTATATAAAAATGACCACTAGAGTTTCTTGTAATTTTTAGATGTGTTTTAATGTAGATGACTAAAATTACAGTCTCTGCAGAACAAATTCTGCTATGGACACGGAGGGAGTCTCTCAGCTGGGAGCTCTGCCCCACACCCAGCCTTTTACTCTGCCTGTTCTTGCCTCCAACCATGTGTGGGAGTTGTACCTGTCTCAGATTGTTTGTCCTCTCATGAGGATGGCTGGCATGCATGTGAAAGAGAAAGGAGCAGTAGGATCAGTCTGAGAGATGCAGTGAACCAAGGAAGGACGGATTAACCTGTGTCAGTGAGAAAGATGGCATAGGTGAAAGAAAATTAAAAGCTACACATTGCTGTTTGTGGAATTTTTCCTTTTCTTGATTATCCAAAAAAGCTCCTTAACTGAAACATACTACTGTCCATCCATTTATTAGATAAACCCCACAGCAATCAGTAACTTTAAGAAACCTTATATTAAAAAATAAGTATTTTTCTAAGAAAATTTTTTACTTTTCAGTAATTTTCTTTCACCAAGTAGAATAATGCAGAAACATCAAACTGAGCAAAAGGGTTCAGAACATGAACCAGAGCAGTAACAGCCCCAGTGCTTTTCACCAGAAAGATTCAAAAGTAGGATAAGTAGGGGCTTCAAAATTACTGTTGTATTTATTGTGGTAAATGGACAGCTCAGAAAATACAAGCTAAATAAAAATCAATTATTCTTAATTTTCAGTCCAATCTTACATGTTCTCTATCTTGGAATTATTTAAATGATTTCCTTTCATTAAATATAGGTAGGGTTTTTTCCTTAGCTTGAGACTTTTGAATGATGTAGAGCAAAGGAGAGACTTTAATCCAGGCACCAGACACTGCACTGTTCAGCCAGCTACAGCTCAGTAAAACCTAACAATTGCCTGTGAGTGCTACATTACTCAGGGGATCTCCACATTCTGTTTTTTAGCTCTCTGCTTCTGCCTTGGCTTCTTCACTTCCTCTTTCAATGGCAGAGCAGAAGAATCATTCTTTTGGGAGGGAGAAGGAGCATGATAGGTCTTAAGGTTTATACTTCTTCGCAGGCTCCTATTCATGTGAAAATACAGGAAGCAATTATCAGGAACATGACAGAGAAGGAAGGGGGAAATGGAGAACATAATTGGGTTCTTCAAGGACCAGCAGCAACAGCTCTGTCTGCTTTAGGGAAAAGGTGAGTTGGGGGGACATGACCCCCTATATTTCTTCTTGGTAAACAGGTTTATGTTTTTCTCTTGCTACTTCATTTTTCTAAAGTAGCATTGCTAAAATATACCTCTTCAGCTCTTTCTGCTCAGAGGTTTCTCTTCTGCAGAGGTTCCCAGACTTGCTCTGCAGGCCTGTTGCACATGTATGGTGTAGTGCTGCTGTCCAAGGTTGAAGCACCAAGATGTTTCCTATCACCATCCCAGCAGGAGCTGCCTCTGGGCAGGTTTCCTGATCTCCTGTCAATGGGCCCATCAGTGCCTTGCCACCTGGCTCAGAGATGCTTTCCAGAGCCAGTTCTGTTAACAGGTGATTTGTGTCTCAGAATAACACCAGCCCATGGTGAGATGCTCCGCCCAGGGGGAGGAGCTCAGCATTCCCACCTGGATAAATCTGCCCATTTCTAGACAGAGGCAGCCTTTCCACAGGTTTCTGAGAGGACACAGAAACCTCATCTGCCACTCCAAGGGGACTGCAGCCACTCCAATTTGGACTGCACGCTGGCCAGAGGTGGGTCAGGTTGTATTCTGACTTTGTCAGTGGTCTTCCTTTTGTATCATTGCATGGATTTTTGTCTTTTTCCCTTTTCCCAATAAATTGTATTTCTGCCTTGGAATCTCTCACTGGTTTTGCTTTCAAACCAGAATAGCTGCCCTTTTGGAAGTCTCAGAGGCTTGAATCACCTCTATTTGTCAATCAGACCCTGTTCACAGTCACTTAATGGTTTTGTCTTGTCACCAATTTCTGTTCTGTTCCCCATCTGGTACTCCCTGCTTGCTTACTATGTTGAAAAAAAAAAAAAAAGGAATTGTTACTGGCATTTTTGTTTATTGCTTGGTTATCTTTTTCAACAAGGTAAGTAAAAGGAAGGGGAGGAATCCAGGTTCCATTTAAAATGTTAGGAAAGTTTGCATTTAGGTGGGCTAGAATAACACCTCAGATGCTCATCTTCATGTCCTTAAAGGATTCCATATAGACAGTATCAGTCAAATTGATAAGTCTTAAAATATTTGAATCTCCCTCAGTGGGATCCCTTCTGTTAACACAAACTCTTTGTTGCAGAGATAAAGCTATCATAAAGTGTTCTTTACTTTCAAAAGTGATCATGAAATTCAATTGATCAAATTTTAAAAAAAAACTTGCCTAAGGGGAAAAAGAAAAGCCTCAAGGTAAAGGTTGAATAAAAGTTACAAAAGAATATCTGCAAATACGAATTAAGTTCTCTTTCAGCATGAAGCTAGGAATAGGAATGAGGGTGAAAGTCAGAATAAATGTCACAGTTCAAAGCTGTACCATAAGAATGATAACATCACAGTCTCAGTTGCTGCCTCTGAGAGATGAAATGTTTTGTTCCTTTCATGATAAGCTGTGGAGGAGTTTAAAGGCTAGTCTAAGTCTAGATTAACTACTTAACAGCAGCTGCTTTTGTACTTTTAGAAATTTGTCTGTGTCTTTTGCATGAATAATTTTCATTGTGCTGGCAGATTTAAGAGTAAATAATCAAAGGACCTAGAACTACAATCAGATATTTTAATTAGATATCTATGAGTATCCTCCCTATCCAGCTTGTGTGCTCATTCCAGCTGTGCTTAATGTCTCTTCACTCAGCTGTGACTCCCAGCACAGCAAAGAATGAAATGTATTATCTATTTACTTATGAGCCACTACAGAAGCCTGTGTGCTTAGTTATACTGAGGTCAAGTGCTTACTAAATATTTGCCATGTTTGGGAATTAGTGTTCCAAATGATTGTTGGCAAATGACTTTTTGGTAAAATTTTACCATTAGAAACATATAATCCTTGCAATTTTTGTTTCAGGTGAAACAGTTTATTTCAAACACCACAGGTGAGACGTCAGAAAACAACACAGAATTACATTTTTAGCAAAAGTTTAACCTGTGACAGGCTCTTACCTATAAGAAAGTAGGTAAAGAATAAGTATGAAACAGACTTAAAGTCAGGCATAAAATGCATGGATAGATTGGAAATTACAGGAAATAAAGCATTGCAGGA